GATGTTCACGGGTTGGTGGTTCATATGCAGAATTAAGTTCTTTTAAAAGATCCTTAAAAAATGGATGTTCAATAATTTGCTAAGATATACCTGCACACGTAAAAGCTTTTACAAGTGCGCGGTCAATCCTTTCTACTTTTCCCTTTGGTAATTTAACAGGACCCAAAAAGGCATCCATTGTTCCATAGACAGCTTTACTTTTTTGTTTTCTTTGGCTATCATCATTAATATTACGATTAGCTGTTATATTTAAATATTCACGAATAACTGAAGGTTCTGCCTGAATACAATGGTTTGCTAAATATTCTTCCATTATTGCTGGTTCACCTCTTGTCCAAAATTTCATACAAGCTTTACATGTTGCTTCATAATGCCCAGGAGCCTTTTCGTTTTTTTTTATAAAATGTTTCTAAACATCCTTTTCTGGTCTTCCACCAATTTTACGATTTGCATCTTCATTGCTACTCATTATTATGATAAATGGGTTGCATTAGATAAAATTGAAAAAAAAAGATCTTTATATATTCTACGATTTGTGATACGATAAACCTGTTAAAACCTGTCGAATTTAATTAGAATTCGCAAAGTTGTTATCAAAACCGTCGAAACTTTCGAGATCCATCGAAACCCATCGAAACCCGTCAAAACCTGTTAAAACCTGTCAAAACTATCGAAACCCGTCGAAATCCGTCGAAACTGTCGAAACAAATTCTGAAAAGTTTTGACTTTTACCAAAATGGGTTTAGGGTTTTGCCCTGCAACTATAGATAAAGTAAAATGTAAAGGTTTATTTATAAACAAATTGTGCAACTCGTAATAGTGAAAGATTCCAAATTTTAAAACTTGTAACTGAACGGAAAATGCATATTAATGTTTTAAATGATGAATTAGCATGAACTGTGAATATTTATATACTGATTAATTCCTTGTCATTCCATATTCATAGTACTCTAATATTATGTAAGATGAAAAAGAAATTAAAAATGACGAGCAGAATAATAATTCAGATGATGACTCTAATAATGAAGCTTTATTTCACAAAATCTGAATTTCAAGAAACAAATAATCTATATTATATAGAATAGCTTCAATAGGTTTCCCTTACGTTTATTCTATAAAATCGTTCTATTCATTTTAAACGCAAGGTAATTATCTTTTATGAGATAATAAGATAAATTTATATTTTTTTATAATATGCCATAGAAGTATAAACCATATTTGAATAAAAAATCAAATCTATTTTTCACAGTAAGCTTACAAAAACCCTTTAATTTTGAAAAAATATAATAAATATATTACTGTTAAATAGCAATTGTATGTTTAGCATATGGTCAAAATATTTCAATGTTTGTAATATGATTATAAAATAATTAACAGTAGTATAAAATATGTTTGTAATATTTTTTATATATGCTGAAAATTGAGTTTAAAATTTATACACATTAGCATTTAATAAAATAATACAATCATTATGCAAATAAAAAAAATTCGTACATAATGTAGAAATATATTTTTATGATATCATCATCATATTTTGCAAATATTAGCATAATAAATAACAATATTCAGATGTCAATATATGAAAATGCTTGAAAAATACACTGCTATCTTAATATTCATTTTCAGATTGAGACTTCGGAGAATAATTTGTACTACATATCGTCACATTATTTTAGTATTGAATAATTTCATTCTAAGAGAACTAAAATTTATAAATAGAAAATATAAAGCAATTTTATAAATGTATTTTTTCTACTACACTAAGTGATACATTTACAATAATAAAAACAGAAATTTCTTTAATATGACGAAAATATTGCAAGCATAATTTAATAAAAATACCTATTATTAATGATTTGTTGCTGATTTACACTTGTTCAACCCAAGAGTTCGCGTACTGATGATTCCTTTACTACACCAGGTTTTGTAGGGATTTTTAAGTCAATTGTGATTTCATCACATGTTTTAATAACCTGTTGTGTATCCTTTCCCGTTATCATGGCTATTAAGACCTTTTTAGTGACCATTCGTACGAAGATGCCAAGTTTGGTAACAATTAATTGATCCTTCCTCAGCTTCAGTTGATCAGTTTCCTTTAAGTACATCAGAAGCATCTGTTTCCAAACTTCATCGGTGATATATGCATCTATTTCGTTATACGGTTCTCTTGCACTATTTATTGATTGAAATATTAATTAATTTCAATCAATAAGAAAAAGAGTAATTAAACAAAATCGTTGAAGACAAACCTTTTATGTGTTGATAAGAATCCAGTCGTGAGCTTCACAATGGTAACATGCAATCTGAAACGGTACATGTTGTACCAACTACTTACATCTTTAACCAGTGAACCTAATCTATCATCAGTTTTAGAGATATTACACATGCGTATAATTAACTCTTCGTATAAGTCAGTTGAATTATTTCTTGTTTGAAGAAATAGAGCCTTGCATTCTTCTTGTAATTGATTTTTGGTATGCTAATTTGAAATAAAGTAAATTAGTTAGTATTTAGTATAATATTATATGCAAAAATATCATCGTTACTACCTGAGAAATTCCCGGAAGTGATTGTCGTGGTAACACATTACCATGTTGTAATGTGGTTAATGTCAAAGTCGTCCCATCAGTCCCAATCCTATTCATCAGCCCATTTCGAATATTTATTGCCAGCTCCAGAACACTTGTGTGGTGAGCTAGCCAATAAGATATTACAAACTCATTGGACATGCTTTGGAATTGTGTTGGTAGCTTTGGCTGTAAATCAACACCGATATCGATGTCATCGATTTCCCATCGTATTCTTTTCTCAGGTGACTTTCGAAATAATTCTTGTACAGGAAGACAAACTTGTCCACCATTATTGTTATTATTAAGTAATGTCACAACAGAAACAGACGAACTTAAATCTTCATCGTCATCTGATAAAATATATGGCGATGATTTCCATTGATCCGCGCTTATTTCGTTTGATAATAAAGAATTTGCTGATGATTTCTGTTGGCTTTGTACAGGAATCGGATCAGCTTCGTTACCATCGTTTGGTAAAGAATTTGCTGACAATTCCTGTTGGTTTTGTGCAGAAGTCGGATTATTTGCTGGAACCGGTCTTGAATCCTCCGAAGGTTCCTGTTTCATTTTCTTTTTATTATATTGTCTTTTAGTTTTGTTGCATTGGCGGGAACCGGGTTTGGATCTTCTACCGCTTTCTGATCAGTATTTTGCTTCTTACTTTATCGCGTAGTCCTCGTTTTTGTTGCTGGAGTTGTTGCTACCGGAGTTGAACTTGCTGCCTTATCATTTAATGAATTATCTGTAATTATTTCAAAAAAAGAAGAATAGAAAATAAAACAATATAAGTAAATAAAAAAAAGAATTTAATAATATGAAATTTATGTAACATACTTTCAGCTGCTACCGCCGCAGTTAATTCGCTGGATAGTGCTAATGCTAAAGTATTAAAAGTAATGTTAAAGACAGTTGACAAGAATATTTGAAATATTTGATCATTTTTTTTATTTTACTTACTGAATTTTCGTTTACGAGCCATATTAAAGACTTTTTTTTCGCTGAAAGTAATTTTTTGAATCGCAAAAAGAATTATCTTAATTTTCTTGATTTATATATAAATAGGCGCTGTAGTTTAGCCCTGATTAATTAACGCTATCCTAATTTATATTAAAGTCCGTTTCCATAAAATTTTATAGACGCAATAAACAAAAGCCTAATAAACAAACAAGGCAACGAGGCAATATGATTTAATTTAATAAAGTTAGTTCAGTTTTTAGCAATAAAATTAAATCTGTTTTAGTTATTTCGATTTTAAACATCAATGTTTTTTTTTTTTAAAAAAAAAAATTAATCTGTTTTCAGTTAGTTTAGTTTTTAATGATGGTCCGACAAATAATGTGATGATAATTATTTTAAAATAAAATTTGAAAGCAATCAAAAAATTATTTTATCTAATTAGAACAAAAAATTTTTACGATTTAAATTATCACCATTGGTTATTTTTATTAGTTACCAACTAGATTAGGTTGGTGTGCGGCGACTTTGTCGCCGCTAGTTATGGTTATTAT